AACACCTCCATTGGGAGATATTGTTTCTCCGTATCAGGTACATCCTCCCTCCTACTCCTTTTGGTTCAGATCTGATTTGGTTCATGGTTCAAGATTAATCCTTAAAAATATGTTTTCCAAAATAGGGAATTCAATTCCCTGCAAAGATGGGAGAAATTTTTTTTGAAATTCGCCCAGTCCATTCCGCAAGACTTGGACGTCCATGTGATGGATATCCCATCCCTTCAACATGTACTGGTATCAATCCTAAAATCTCAGTTTTCATATGCTGAAAGACATAAGCAGGCAATGTGTGGTCGGTAAACTGGGGCATCTGCTACTTTAAACTTTAAAGAGAAGGAAACTTTTCAAAAGATTAAAAAAATAGAAAAGAGAAAGAAATACATTTTTTAAGATGTAAACAAGAATATTCAGAATCCAGTAAGCACATGTGGAGCTGTATCAAAATTTTCTGATGCAAAAGCTTCCTTATTTGGATATTATGATTATTGTATTACCTTTTTTTGGGTACTTAACACAACACACTAACTTTTTCAACGCAGGTGGTAATAGCGGCATTCATATCCGCATCTCTTCTGGGACTACCCAGCTAACATGCCAACCGAGCCACCACTCAGTTGGTGATTATTGTATTACCTTTTGCTGAATAAATTTAATTTTCATCATAAATTAATCCTTTATTTCTGATGAAGAATGACTAAGAAACTGAAGTGCAACTATTCGCAAAGTCAAGTCAAGGGATTCACATAGTAAAAGCACAACTATTTTGAAAGAAGTGTTTCATTTAAACATCCAGATATGCCAGATACTTGGGAAGTGGCTTCCAGGATATTCCTATGAAGACCTTTCCATCTGCAGTAGGTAGTCAAATATAGCCCCCCTCCCCCAATAGACCATACAGATAAGTAAATAGTTCCTATAGTTTTAGCTTTTCAAAGGGAATCCTGAAAGTTTTTCTGATCTCATGCCTCTTATGGGATTCCAGGTGGGTAGGGATAACAGAATCTGACTTTGATCATGTTACTTTTGTCTATATCCACCACATGTATTAGACCATGTTGTTTCTCCTTCAGCATAAAAGGAAACTATGAAGTTAAGATGGCTTAAGGAAAAGTGAAGATCAGCTATTATGGATAGATATTGTAATATTATGTCACAGTCTATGTGGAGAAATTGAACATTATGCAGAACCCATAAAGAAAAGGGCAGAATATGAGGGACAGAAAGGGAAAATATGGATGCAAGTTTAAAGAATATATGACCATACTTTCTCTGAAGTATCATCAGTACGGGTTACAAGCCTTGCTTTGATTTCCTCCGACTCTGGGGGAAAATTCTTTATATGGTAAATTTTTCCAGTCACTGGGTCCAACCTTCTTCCAACACATCTGTCGATTAGAATTTCATCAGGAACCTGAATATTAACATATAAGATCTCTGTGATCAATTAGATGAAACTTGGTAAGGCCTAATGGATATTTCAGCTACAAATATATACAAGGTTCATGAACAAAAGATACAAATACAGTAAAACTTGATCTCTATATCAGACAATTTTGAAAAAAGGATATTTTTAAGTTTGATTGAATCATCATCATGATATTGACTATTTAAACATCTAAAATCCTATATGAAATCAATTAAAACATAAAGAGAAGATGGAACATCTCTGCAGTGGCAAAGATGTGATCAAAGTGTTTTAGATTAGATAGTTACATTTATTCAATATGAAGTTGTCCGTTGCCTCATTCTAACAAAATCCTACAAATATACATGAGAGGACATAAAAGAATACAAGTAAAGAAAATTTTAAGCCCCATCACTCAAATGTTATGATCACATAGAGCTATATCTGTACATAAAGCTCTTCCTATGTTGCATATTCTACATTGGAATTAACTTATAATGTTCGGTGATTTTATTTTGTCTGCTCATCATTTTATTTCCCTACATCCCAATTGTACTGGTTTTTACATTCGACTGTTTCTATCTTGTTCTACCATATTTCTTGCCTGCAAAATAGATATCTAGCATAACAATTAAATTACTTCCTCCTCCCCTCCCTAACCTAGCCATTGGTAACCAAGTTAAGCTCTTGGGTGTCAATCTTAATTGGAAAGGAAAAGAAGAGGAAGTGTCCCAAATCTTGTTAAGGTAGTGTACAATACAAGCTCCCAAGGGCCTTGACCATAACCCCTGCTCCATGGAATACCACTTCTCCATCCCAGGATGACAGAACAAAGCAACCCCCCCCCCCCCACTGGAATTGAGGATCAGGAGCAATTTCAGGATCTAAACCATGCTCCTCTGTATTCTATTTAATGATATGCCCTTAAACTCCTTGCAAAGCTTAACAAGGACTTCTCTCCAGACACAGAAATTTCTCTCTTCCCATACAACCTATGTAACAGCATGAATGACAGATTCCCCATAGAGACAACCTCTGCCTCTGATCCCCAAAGCCAAAGGAGCAATTTCAAGATCTAAACAATGGTCCTCTGTATGTCATTTAATGAGATGCCCTTAAACTCCTTGCAAAGCTTAATGAGGATTTCTTTCCAGACACAGAAGTTTATAGCCATGTGAGTGGCAGCTTCCTTGTAGAGTCAACCTCTGACTCCCAATGGTCCTCTGTATGTCATTTAATGAGATGCCCTTAAACTCCTTGCAAAGCTTAATGAAGATTTCTTTCCAGACACAGAAGTTTCTCTTTTCCTATGCAACCCACAACCATGTGAGTGGCAGCTTCCTTGTAGAGTCGACCTCTGACTCCCAAAGCTATGGACCTCAAAAGGTGCCACCCACTCAAGCCCCACTAGGCCCAAGAAAAAGTGTCAAATTATTCTAGTGACCACGAGATAAACAATGAGGAAATTAACTGATTCAGGATCCTCTGGGCACATAATACACAATCGGAGGGATAAGTAATGGCACTTCATTCATTTCCTTTCAGATGTCAAAAGACAATCCTCACTGTAATCAAACTGTCTCACTTTGCCTTACTGCATCACAAAACATCCCAACACCTATGATACCTGGATACATGGTGCCATATCATGTTGGGTACTTCAATTTTTAGTGTGAATTTCATATCCAATACTGTATCCATATATGTCCTAGCCAATTAACTAGAGATGGTCAATTATCAACTTTTTCATATCCTAAGCATATAAACATTAAATCATCACATTTCCCTTAATTACTTGATAACATATCAAAATATACTCAAACCGTCCAATATTTGATGCCTCACTGAATTCAATCTCTCTTATTGAAATGCTGTTATTTTGTATGTTTAGTACCGCAGGGGTACTTTAGTACTTTCAGCCTGTTTTATTTTAAGTTGTGTCGCCCTAGTATAAATAACAAAAAAGCTGGCACCGCCAGAAGCTTTCTGAGACTCCAAACTTTTGTCTCTCTTCTCTCTTCTCTCTTATCTCTTCTCTCTCTCTCTCTTCCTTCTCCTCTGGACAACATGGTATCAAAGTGGGACTGTTAGATCCGAAAGAAGAGATCGAGCACACCTTCCCTGTCTTCTCCATTCGCCAGATCCAGATCCAGATTCATTGAAGATCCATATCCAGATTCAGATCGAACTGAAGTACTCTCTCTCCCTTCTCCTTTTTTTTTTATTTTTTCTGGTCATGTGCCAGAACAGAACCTGTAATAGGTTCAGACTGTTAATGTGAGGCGAGCAGTCCCTCTTCTTCCCTTTTTGTGGGATCAGCTGATCCCTGTAACAGACTGTAGGTCAGTAATGACCTTTACATGCTGAGACAGCAGCCTTCTGGTGAACTTGTAGGTCAGGGGATGACCTGTATGTACTGCAACAGCAGCCACAATTGATTTGTAGGTCAAGAGAGGACCTGTATATGCTGCTACAGCAGCCATACCTGATTTATGGTAGTCCAGTGATGACCTGTGAGTTCGGTAAAATATTTTTTTGGGTGTTCGGCTGCTTCCTTTTGGCCTTCCTTGTGTTCAGTTGAAGTGTAACCTGAAGTTGTGATTATGAGTGGTGAAGACTCTGCCACATCTGGAGTCTCCTCAATGCAGAACGGAACAAGTGGGGGAATAGATTTATCTTTCCCTATGGCTGTTATACCCCTGGATGGTCTGAATTACTTAGAATGGTCGAGGGGGATCAAGTTATAGATTACTGCAAGGGGAGAAATAGGGTATATAAATGGGAGAATTAAATAACCAAATTCCAAGAGTGTTGAGTAGGACAGATGGAACCAAGAAAACAGCATGGTTATGTCCTAGCTTTTGGTGTCTATGCAACCTCAGGTGAGAAGGAACTTTATGTGGGCTGTGTTAAGTTGACTGTTTTTATGTATTGTTGGTTCGGCTGATAAGTGTACATGTTAGTTAGTATTGGGTTTTAAGCTGTTAGGTACTGGGCCTTTGTTATTGGGCCTAAGTCTGTTTAGTGTTTTAAGCAGTCTGGGTGTCCCATCACTAATCAGRGGCATTCCAGACATTTCATGTAACAYTGTATTGTAATCTACTATAAATAATAGTACTGTCGACTGGGTTACTCAGTTCAACATTCTCAGCACTTGTTTGCCTTCACCTCTCTTCTACTACTTCAGCTACAACCTTTCAGCAAACAGGCTGAAATGGCTTATGAGATTTGGGAGCAAGCAAAGTCGACCTATTCTGAACTGCGTCACTACGCAAAAATCTATCAGTTATAGGCAGAATCATCCACTTGTAAACAGGGGGAGAGGAACCTTTCTGCATACTATTCAGATTTGACCTCCGTCTGGAAGGAGTTAGATCACTATCAAAGTGTAGATTGGAAGTGTGATGAAGATGCAAAAGCATACAAGAAGCTTGTTTCCCAACAGAGAGTGTTTACATTTCTCCATGGTTTGAATCCACTATATGAATCCATCAAAGTCCAGATCCTAGGCAGCAAAGATCTTCCCTCTGTCCAGGAGGTTTATGCATTAGTACAGTCGGAAGAGAGTAGAAGAAATTTAATGAACAGCTCCGGAGGGGATGTAGTTGTGTTGGCAGCAAAAGGGAATGTTACTATAGGTGGGGGAAATTTTTTTAAGAAGGGGGACCCTCAAAAAAGGGTGGAAGGCAAAGACAAACTATGGTGCACCCACTGCCAGAAACCCCGACATGCCCGGGAAACATGCTGGGATCTTCATGGGAAGCCCAAATGGGCCCAAGATTTAAGCAAGAAGCAAGGTTCAGACCTGAATAAGAAGTCAAGACAGCAAGGTCCAAGAAAGTTCACCACAGCAAATGTGGCTTCTCAGGAGAATCAGCCCCCTACTACAGATATGGCTCAGACATACACTTTTGGTTCTAACCCGAGGGAGGATATTATCAATTCCTTCAGTGACCATTTGGAACTCTATGGTAGAGTAATTCATCAGATGGATTCTTCTCCTCCTTCAACTTCATTTGCGTCTACATCAGGTAACTCTGCCACAGCTTTCCATGTATCGTCTCATCCCCTTAACTCTCCTTGGATAATTGATTCTAGAGCGTCAAAACATATGACTGGTGAGTCCACTTATTTTCAGACCTACCACCTCCTCTCTAGAAGAGACAAGGTGAGACTAGCTGATGGTTCATATTCTACCATAGCTGGTCAAGGAACCATCTCTCTTCCCTATGGCCTCACCCTGACTAATGTCTTACATGTTCCAAAATTCCCCATTAATTTGTTCTCTGTTAGTAGTATCACTAATTCTTTAAACTGCTCAATAACCTTTTTCCCTTCTTATTCTGTACTCCAGGATTTGGCCTCGGGGAAGACGATTGGTAGAGGACGTATGGTGGATGGAATCTACATGCTAGAGAATAAGACTGGTCTTACAGTCACAGAGTCTAATAGTTAGTCTAGTACAAGTCAGGACTATTTATGGCATAGTCGTCTCGGTCATTTGTCCTTTGAGTTTGGTATTTCTAGAGTTGTTTAAGTCAGTGTTAGTGTCATAGTTTACATGTCAAACTTGTCAATTGAGTAAGCATTGTAGAACTCATTTTTCTTCAAAAAATAATAAATCTGAATTTCCTTTCCATATTATTCATTCTGATGTTTGGGGCCCTGTTACTTTATCGTCCGAGAGTGGCTACAAATATTTTATTACCTTTATTGATGATTACTCCAGATACACATGGATATATCCTATGCGAACCAGGAATGAAGTACCCAAAATTATCCAAGATTTCCAACGAATGATCTTCACCCAATTTCAAACTGATCCAAATTTTCCAATCCGATAATGCAAAAGAATATTTTCATAATGATCTCACGGAATTCTTTGCTTCGCATGGATCACTTCACCGTAGCTCATGTGCCTGAACACCACAACAAAATGGAGTTGTTGAAAGAAAGAACTGACACCTTCTTGAAGTGGCTAGGGGTTTACTCATCCATAYGAATGTCCCAAAACGTTTTTGGCTTGAGGCGGTCCTTTGTGCTACCTATCTCATTAACAATATGCCCTCTCGCTGGTTAGAGTGCAAAGCCCCACATTAGCTTCTTTTTCTCAAGTCTCCTCTTCTTTCTATTCCTCCTCGTGTGTTTGGTTGTCATTGCTTTGTTCAAAATCTGGCTCCCATCCGTGGAAAATTGGATCCCCGTGCTATTCCTTGCATCTTCTTAGGGTACTCCCTCACTCAAAAGGGGTATCGATGCTTTGATCCCATCTCCCGGAGATATTTTGTTTCTATGGATGTCTCTTTCTTTGAGAGTGAGCCTTTCTTCCCTGTTTCTCCTCAGGGGGAGTGTAGAAATGAGGAGAAACTAGTTCAACTGCCCCCTATTCCTGATCCTCCTCCCTTTCGTGTTTTCTTTCGACGTCACAAAGGCCAGCCAAGTTCAAGAGTTGTGGAGCATCCAGAAGTTGTACCACCAATACCATCAAACTCTCTGGGGCTGGATCCTTCCCAACCAAGTACCTTGGTTCCCATTGATGTTCCTGACCCTATTGCCATTGATACCTCTATTGTTGATGACCTTAACCTTCCTATTGCTCATCGAAAAGGTGTTAGGTCTTGCACCACTAAACATCCCATGTCCCACTTTGTTTCCTATGAGAACATTTCACCTTCCTTTCGGGCCTTTCTCTCTTCCATTAACAGTGTTCTTATTCCTAAGAATGTGGTAGAAGCTCTTTTGATACCTGAATGAACAGATGCTATGAAGGAAGAGATTAATGCTTTACATAAGAATGGTACATGGGAACTTGTAGATCTTCCTAAGGGGAAGGAACCAGTTGGATGTAAATGGGTTTTCACAGTAAAACATAGGGTTGATGGCACAGTGGAGCGGTATAAAGCTCGTCTAGTAGCAAAGGGGTTTACACAAGTGTATGGAGTGGATTACGGAGAAACTTTTGCACCCGTTACTAAGATGAACTCCATTAGAGTTCTTTTCTCCTTAGCTGCTAATCTTGACTGGGAACTTCATCAACTTGATATCAAGAATGCATTCTTAAATGGTGACCTTGAAGAGGAAGTATACATGGTGCAACCCCCTGGTTTCCGAGCTCAAGGTAAGGAACAGAAAGTGTGCAAGTTAAAAAAATCATTATATAGCTTGAAACAATCATCAAGAGCCTGGTTCAGTAGATTCCATGTAGCAATTCAGCAAAGAGGATACAAGCAGTGTCAATCTGATCACACACTGTTTGTGAAAAGAGAATGAAGGATTGCAGCACTGATAGTATATGTTGATGATATAGTTATCACTGGTGATTGGAATGATGAAATTCAAAAGTTGAAGAGTTTACTTGCTTCCCAGTTTGAAGTGAAGGATCTAGGTCCTCTAAGGTATGTCCTTGGGATTGAAGTGGCCTGCTCAAAAAAGGGTATCTTCATTTCCCAAAGAAAGTATGTCCTAGATCTACTCCAAGATACAGGAAAATTGGAAGTGAAGCCCGTTGATTCCCCTATTGATCCTAACAACAAGTTAGGAGACTATCAAGGTGAACCCGTCGAGGATGTGAAACAATTTTAGAGACTTGTAGGAAGACTGCTATATCTTTCTATGACTCGACCAGACATTGCTTATGCAGTGGGAGTTCTTAGCCAGTTCATGCATGCCCCTAAGACTACCCACCTTAAAGCAGCAGAAAGAGTTCTCAGATATCTTAAGAAGTTCCCAGGTGCAAGCTTGTTGTTTCAAAAGCATGAGCATTTGAAAGTTGAAGTGTATACCAATGTTGATTGGGTAGGATCCTTGAATGACCGGAAGTCAATAAGTGGCTATTGTACCTTTATAGGAGGGAACCTAGTTACCTGGAGAAGCAAAAAGCATAATGTGGTAGCTAAGTCTAGTGCTGAAGCTGAATATCGGGCAATGTCTCATGGAGTGGCAAAAATTATGTGGTTAAAGAATTTGTTGAGTTGGGCTTTCCAGTTGATGGACCTATGACGCTTTACTGTGATAACAAAGCAGCCATAAACATCGCTGTTAATCCTGTACTGCATGATAGAACTAAACATATCAAAGTTGACAAACATTTCATCAGAGAAAATGTTGTCACAGGGGAAGTGTGTACTCCCTATGTCAGTTCTGAAGACCAACTTGTAGGCATCTTCACAAAGGGGTTACATCACTTGCGACATTATGATTTTATACAAGTTGGGCATGATTGATATCTATGTCCCAACTTGAGGGGGAGTGTTGAAATGTTGTTATTTTGTATGTTTAGTACCGTAGGGGTACTTTAGTACTTTCAACCTGTTTTATTTTAAGTTGTCGCCCTAGTATAAATAACAAAAAAGCTGGCACCGCCAGCAGCTTTCTGAGACTTCAAACTTTTGTCTCTCTACTCTCTCTCTCTCTCTTCCTTCTTCTCCTCTGGACAACATCTCTAACAGAACAATAGTATATACAGAAAGAACTAATTAGATAACATTTTTATTAGTAATATTAGTTTTAAATATGAAATCCCCTAATTCAGGTTTCAAGGCTTTCCAATGGTTTGGTTCTAATGTAGTTACTCTGGTACATAGCAAGGACACCAAGTATTCAGGTGTCCAGATACATGAACCTCCACATATATAGCATAGGAGATAAGGAAATAAATTTTGTTTAATTATAAAAAAGGCCATTACCCAATGTTAGTCCCAGCTATCTAGGGTCTTGGGAGGGGTACACTGGATACAGTCCTAACCTTTAGCATTTTTTTTTTTTTGCACAAAGTGGATGCTGTCGGACTAAAACCTGCATTCTCACATTGACAGCTAGAGATTTTACCATTACACTGAATAATGGCCCTTAATATTTAATTATATAAATAATTTAAAATAGTAAAAAAGGACTCGGAGTGCAGACTCATTATGAGTTGTGTCCTTTCCTGTGATATACTGTTTATGAGTACAAAGTGCCAGGTTTCTTCCTAACTTCAGATTTGAGCATCATCATTATGCTAAAGTAAGTTTCATGCCAAGTGCTAACTTGCAGCATGGATTCTAAATGTCAGCACAACTAGACCCTTTAATTTCAAGCCACCCTGGTAACACTGGGGTTCCAGTTCTAAATGGATATCTAACATTTAAGATGATCAAACAATAGCTTGCAAAACTTGAAACCTGTTCACATAATAGAATTAGAAATAACAATTTCAAAGGAAGCAAGAAATCACGTAAACTTTAGGGGTCGTTTGATAACAGCTGAAGATGCTGAACTGAAAAACTTATTGCTTTGTCTTTTAGTGAATATGTTCTTAAGGAGATTGTGAACTCTTTAATGGCTGAAACTGAAGTTGGGTAGATCACTATACCCTTGAAATTTTTATTATTTAATTATTTTAACAAACTAAAAGACAAAGCAACAAGTCTTTAAGTTCAGCAACTTCAGCTGTTATCAAACAGCTCCTTATACACATGTGATGTAATTTTTATAAATTTCAGTACAGTTCATTTGGGTGGGTTTAATTCATGTACAACAATTAACCAACAAAGATGGGAGAATAATTACATACGTCCAAGACAATGTATATGTCTGGTCTAATCTTCATTTGTTCCAAACTTTGTGCTTGGGCTGAGCTTCGTGGGTATCCATCAAGGAGCCATCCTTTCTCCTTTGCATCTTGTTGTGATAATCGTGATTTCACCATCTACGAAGAATTATTGGTTTAGTGATTTTCTGGAAAGGAAAAAAAAGCACAACACAAGGTCTTGGAAGTAATATAATACAGCAATGACAATCTCATCTGGAACTAGACGGCCAGTCTCCATATATTCTTTTGCTTTATTTCCAATCTCTGTCCCTGATGATACTTCAGCTCTTAGAAGATCTCCAGTTGATATGTGCACCAATCCATACTGAAGAACCAAGGAAGATTAATCATGTTAAAAAGGTACTGAATAATGAAAGTTAATGGAACAAGGAAAATAAAATTCTCTATTAAGGTACTGAATAATGAAAGAAAACATGAAAATTGAAAATAAATTACAAATGAAATTAAAATGAACATAATCATGTTAAAAACACTAAATTAATTATTGGAAAATTATTATAAAACTACAGAAAAAATATGCACACATACACACAAACAGACAGACGAAAGAATTTGGACCAGTCTAACAAAAATCACATGGGACAATGTGGAAAGCTTAATGCATAAACAGCTATACCCAACAGCACGATGCATTTCCTGAGAATGAAATTTCAGGTGAAACCATTTTACTAAAAAAGGATTAATTTCATGAAAGATGAATCTATGTTTGCATTGGACATAAACTCAATTGACATGAGGACAAAAAGGGCATGGATGGGTGTCCTTAAAGTCATTTTGTTCAGAGTTTTTATGGGGAATAAGATAGAGAGTGGAAACTTTCTCTAGAAGGCACATGGTCTAGGGACTCTGTGATACAAGACAATCCTGAAATAGAAGTATTTCACTTTGTACAAGGATTGAAAAAGCTTCCAGCAAGATCCTCTCAGAGAAAAGAAAATTTGCAAAGAAAGAGAGAAAAGAGATAGAAGGAGAAAATGATAAATGGGTAGATCCTCAGTACCTGATCCCAACTTTTTATCTGAGTCTGACCAACCAAAAGGATGAAGATGATAGAACCTAACAACCAAGGACAATAAGTTCTTTTCTTTCTTTAGAGAAAGGAGAGGAGTCTTCTTTTTTCAAAAAAATACATAAGCATGTCGCAAAAAAAATCACAAATTTGCATCACTTCATTCTGACACGGGCTAAAAAAGATCAAAAACTCAAAGTTGGAGGTGAATTACTTGAATTTCAAATCAAAACTAGAGACAGCATCTCAAGTTCACCATTCTACTTGCAGCCACAATTTGGAATATTGAAACTCACACAGTTAGCTTGATTTTGATGTCACTGGAAAACTCATTTGATTATTCATCCAACAAGCCCAAGATCATGCAATTTTGGACATAAAATGAAATAGTTATGTTTTGGCTGTCTTGTATCTGAAATAACCACTCCCTTAGTCTTTTATTTCCCATTAAAATAGACCACCGTTTATCAAAAATAGAAATGGATTTGTGACAAGGCTTCTATTATTTGGTTGCTTTAAATTTTAAGTTAGAGTTAGGATTTATTTTTCTAGGTATTTGTTTTAGAAGTCGTCTGCCTACAGGAAATTCATGTTTAACTTTTAATGGGTCAAATAAATCAATTTCCTAAAGGTTTTTAACAGTTCTAGGCAATCTGACTCATTCCAACATAGGTATGAGCATGAATTGGAAAGTGATTAGAAATCATTAGCTCCTCTAAGTGATGATTTCCTTGACAGATTTCCTTGATGATTTCCTTAGGCTTTGTTTTGTTTGGTGTTAATGACAGATTTCCTTGATGATTCTAATTCCTTCAAGAAGCTATTACATGTCGATTCCTAATAGTTCCTCTAAGTGATGATTCCTATGTTATTCTCTTATCTTTTTCTTATTTTGCAGGTCTATCATGCATCATATTCCCTCTTATAAGGCTGGATTCTTTTTGTTTGGAAAAAAATCCTAGCTTGTTGAGAGAAAGACCAGACATAGTGACACATAGATATGACTAACTTATACCAGCATTTTTCTCTTCAAGGTGATAGTGCTTTCTGTTCTCTGGGTATTCATATTGAGCTGGAACCAAAAATAAGGAAAGGAGCATTACCCCAGTGTGCCTCATGTATCAATGCTGGGTCCAGCTCTATAACTCATCTCTGTTTTATAACAAATGATTGCTAGATTTGTGTGATTTTAGAGATGCAAAAATCTCTAGTCGTTATAACTGCAATTCCCAAAGAAACATTTCCTTCTCCAACAGTATCTAGGAACAACTACCTATTGCATGTAGTTTCCTTAATGAAGAAGTTCTACTGTTCAATCTATATTTTATCTCTCAATGACTGCGTCCCATCCTGTACATTATGCAAGTTGTGTCACCTTTTCTTCCTCACCTTATTTTGATTCTTTTTGCATTCTACCCTTCTAAGCTAAGCAGACCAACGGATCAATCAAAACTAGGAAAATAAAGAAATCACCTTCTGGACGATCAACTCACACTGAGTTCCTTTCCCCGAAGCTGGGGCCCCTGATATCATCACCTTCAATGGTTCGCCAGCCAAACAATTCACCCTAAATCCCTGCCCAAAAAAAGAAGCTAAGGAGAAATATAATACAAACCGAAAATCTGCAAAACCAATATGCAAACCTTTGGTTTAGGGTTTCTCCTTGGTTGAGTTCTTGAAGAACATCGTAGCGATGACAGATGGAGCGAATACGGTGAAGGAATGGAGAGAGAATATGACAAGGAAGTCAAAGAGGAGGGATGATAATTGAAGGAAGAAAGAGACATGGTGGTTATGGGGAATGGAGCTGAAGCGCCATTGTTGTAGTAAATCGAGATCACTGAGCTAAGCACCATTTCTGCGCTGCAGAGCTCTTCTTTGAAGGTTACAAGTCGAAAGGATCTTCGTGTAGCAAAGTGAGGTGAGGACTAAGGAGAGTGGCTGATATTTTGTAACTGATAAACGGCCACCATTGGTTTGCTCCTGAGAAATGGTAGTTATCCGCTCTGTGAACAGTGAAATCCACCGAGCCTTCCAAATTGGCGGTTAAGTTCAGAACATATCATCCAGTAGGTCCCACACCTTCCTACACTACACGAGGTTTTTTCTGTAGACGGTTGACCATCCTGTGCGAAATTGTGGATACAAATTGAGCAATGCCACCCGATTGTCCGAATTCGAATTCGTTCCCATCGAGAGTGATCCGAGTTCGATTTATAATGGGGTCCGACTATGATATGGAAAACCATATCATATCTAAAACTTTTACTACTGCCACGTATACAGCAGTTACCGGATTTAATTAAGTAACAGGTAATTATTATTTCATATATTAATTAAAATTTAAAACATTGTTTTAACCAATCCATTAACCGAATCTTCCGTTTTCCCATTCTTTATCTTCTTCCGGTTCCCTACTCTGTTCAAACTTCTCCCTCTGGAAATCGTAAATCCATAGATCACAATGCATTCAATCAACAGCAAGAGGTTATTCATCTCCCTCGCTCTCGATCACAAGTATTTTCTTCTTCTTCTTCTTCATATTTTCTACAATCGCCATATTTTAGTAAATAACCTCACTAAACATTTCCCTAACAGTCGATTCATATTTTTTACAATCACTAAACATCTCCCTAATAGTCAATTCCATATTTTCTGCAATCACTAAACATCTTCCTAACAATCGATTCCATATTTTCTGCAATCCAACAGGTAGCAGTCGATTCCATATTTTCTGAAATCAAACAACCACTTGTTACAGGCTAGAAGTTTACTACAAAAATATCTTGCTCTGGCTAATTATAGAAAGCTAGGTATTTGCATTTTTTGTCAAAAAATTGTGTGGCTTCTTGATTCCTACGGGTATATATTAAGGAATAAAGTAAAATAGGAAAAAAAAAAAAAACAAGGGAAGAAGAGTTCCATCTTCATCTTTCTACCATACGGCATAAACAAATGACAAATCCATGATCACCTGCAGAACAAATATGGCACAGAAGGGAGAAATTTACTGTTTATAAAACCAAATCCTTTAAAAAGAACAATGACATAACCTTTTCAGAGAATATCACAAGAAGATGGAAGGCTTAAAATGCATTACCTATACAAGGATGCTAGCTCATGTTATGATGCTTCACGTGGTGCACCCAATCGGTCAGAACCTAACAATAATAGCAAACAAGAAAGCATATCAGTAAACACATTCAGAAACGTACTAAATAGGTTAACCAGAATTTTTGGAAAATAAATTTTAAAGAATAATGTGATTATGATTATTCACTTGTCTTTTATTATGACTGTGGCATATGGTAGAATACAATGRATTGGACCAAAAGCTATTAAACTCAAACAATAATCCAATTCTAATAAGGAACTATTGTTTTTTCAAAACAATAATATTCCTTGATTAATATAACTGCATGCAGTCCTCTCTCTCTCTCTAGATCTCCAATGCAAACGATTTGGTTGGTTTGATTGATTCTTAAGTGATTCCATCAACACTATGATGATTGGTTTAATTCAAACTATATTTGTCTTTTATGCATTTCTTTAGAGCAGCTTAAGGGTGAATCAAAAACCAAATCTTTTCTAAAGTAAAATAAAGTGGCTAAYATACTCTAAGTTCACAAGAGATCCCAAAGTTCATGTATATACTTGTTTTCCCCAACTCCAAGTATCATAAAAGCAAATATAATTGAAAGCTCAACTAATCATCCTTTAACTTCCTTACTTAACAATCCAGCTCACTATCCTTTAACTTCCTAGACTTTTAGGAACTAAATCTGGTGTTAAAACGAATCCTCTATTCTAAGCTTTGAAGCAAAAAAGCTTTAAAGCTAGAAGCTTGGTATTCATAAATATTATTTTCTCTCTTGGGAAATAAACCACCAGCCATTGGGGCCCGCATATATCGAAAAAAATAAACAAACATTAAAGCCCCTGTGGGATTCCACAACCAAGTCTTGGCCACTCTAGAGGGAAAACAAAAAAGCAAGAAGTCTRAATATTAAAAGGCTGATTGTGCCCAGTTGTCAGCCATTACACTATGTTCATAGTTTCAAACTGCTCTCATGACTTGTTCCAAATTACTGATTTGTAGCTCAGGTTGATTATTAGATTGGGCGGTTCGGTTTTGGCTCAAGGTAGGTTAGACCAGATCTGTGCCGGATTATATGTCCACCCTCCTATATATAAGAGCATAGACATTCTACCTGGTCAACCTGTCTTGAATCAAAACCGAACCAGTCCGATACCCAGCGCATTGGCCAGTTAACCGAAGCAGCCACTTATGCTGACTAAGAAAAATTGAAATTCTAGAAAATTCTTTAATTAAAGAAGGAAAAGAAAAATATAAAAAAGGTAACCCATTTCCAAATGGGGCCCCAATTCCCACATTCTCTCCCTCCTTCCCAGACTCTCGTCCCCTCTCTTTCCAATCAAATTGGGATTGCAAATTGTAATTGGACATTGAATAGTATAAATAAATTAAACTAATAAGATCAAAATATTATATATTTTTAATAAAATAAAAATGAACTAAAAATGACTTTAATATTATATATCATCAACAACAAAATGAATGGAAAATTATATAAAATATGAACCTATAGCAATTTAGTAAAAATATAAAATTCAAATAAATCTTACCAATAGATACAACATAATTTTCAAACTTTTTAAGAATATATGAGTAACGTTTAAATCCAATCGAATCGGATTATACCGGATAGGATTGGGGTGGATCCACAGTTGATCCCATTATAAAGGGAAAATATATGATATGGAAAAGATTCCATATCATATCGGATGAGATGGACCAATCAACTTTCGAGTTTTTGTTTCGGTGAATACGGATTATGGCAAGTAACCGGTTTCAAAAACAAAAATTAAAATCACATTTGATTCTTAAAACAAGAATTAATAAAGACGTTAACTTACGAAAAACTACTGACCGTCATTCTCCCTGATATCTTCAGCTCACCACCCCTGTTGAATCATCCTTGACGATAATGGTTTCTCTTCGGTGTCACCTCGTCACCCTTGTGCTTCTTCAAGTGATCCTATTGCTCTTTCACCCTTGTACTGATTAGTTTTATTTCTCTGCCAATTTATATATGCTCATCATTCTTTCATTCTTGCATGATTTGGGTCTTCATTGTAAGTCCGAGTTGGCCGATTAATGGGATTTTTCTGATAGAATAGCATTCGTTTGGTCGGGAGGAAGATCCCGATGCCTGATTCTCCTAAAACGTCATTAGGTGACCATCTGAACACATTGTGTCTGAAAAGGGGCCTGGATAGGGGAGAGAAATGCATGTTGCAAATATCCATTTGACTGGGTATCATGTTCTGCAGTGTTACTGATTCTCTCTCTCTCTCTCTCTCTCTCTCTGGTACTTCAATGATTCAAAGAACTAGTTTTGAGATTTTTTTGCGTTTTTCTTGCTAGGCTCTTGTAAATTTGATCTGTTTAGAAAGAGTTATGGTTATTTTAGTTGTAGGGTGCAAGTCTGTGATGAGATTACAAAACTTTTATTCTCAGGTTTTTCTTGCAGTTGCTTTTAGTTTGTTTAACTGCAGAGGAATTAGTAGGGTGTTGTTAGAATTGTTTTTAAGTGTTACAGTCCTTATTTGAGAATCCTATGGATTACCTACAGGTTTGCCTTAACTTTTCACTAATTAGAAATTTTGGTTCAGTTTCCTAGTTGAGTTTGGTACCATTACCTTCTTTGGATCGTTTTCTCTTTGTTAAATAGGTTATATCTGGCGTAGGACCCATAGAATGGTGGATATCATTAGTCAGAATGTGCATATCAGCATATGCTAGTTTGCAGCTCTGAGATGTCATGCTATTATACAAATACCTCGTGTTTTCTTTAAAATGTAGATTCAAGATTGAGGCTAATGAGTAACT